GAGAGAGAGAGAGAGAGAGAGAGAGAGAGTCTCGGGGCCTGTTTGTAGAGCGGATCGTCGGCTTTTGGGAAGAGCTGGCTGCTCCTGTTTGGCAAAAGTGGAGCGTAGCTGCGGGTTAACTCCTGCGTCCGCGATCCGCGATGCGCGGCGATCAAGTGTGCTTCTGGGGTTTGCAATGGACTGTGGTTGAAGTGATGCGTTTGCGCTTTGGTATTTTGTTCTTGCCTCGCGCGTGCTTTTTGCGTTTGACCTAAGTGACTGCATGGTGATTTCACCTTGCGCCCTCTAGCGTTCCCAGCCATCTGTCAATTTGAAGAATCCATGGTCTCGTGCCACTCTGGATCGGTGGAACAGCGTCGCTCTCCCTGTCCAGCGGCGTTGGTTTGAGAAGCCGACGGCTGCTCTATTTTTACCTCTCTCGACATTGCACTCTCTCTCTCTCTCTGTCTGGGTCATCGCTTACAGTTAGAGGTAAAACAGGGGAATAGAAAAAACAACGTAAAACGGGCTGAAGACTGTCTACTTGGAGATGGGTCTCGAAGGTGGACGCACTCTTTCTCTTTGTCTCTCTTTCTCTGTTTCTGTGTTTCTCTCTTTCTCTCTTTCTCTTTCTCGTTTTCCCTCTCTCTCTGTCTCTCTTAGCCGGTGGGGTTTCTCCGTCCTTGTCACGCCATCTGGTTTTACAAACGAGGTTAAGACAGCGCGTGGCAATTATGACAAATGTTTAATCTTGTGGATTAAGAATTCTTGAACTCTTAAGCCTGGCGTGCTTTTCAGCCACGTGGCAGGTTCCAAGTGGCCACCGTCTCAGTAGATTGATCGGACGAGGAACCGTACCTATGACCGGTAGTTGGAAAGAATAGACGAAGTCTACATGGAGGATTCCTCCATTTCGTTAGACAGACGGAGTCCAAATATACGATATATGATTCCCGCCCTCTCTCTGTTGGTTGGTATTTAGTCTCCCAGTTCGGATAAAATTCACTAAATAATGTTTTTTTTCTTTTTTTCAAGGGAAAAAAAGGGCGACGGCCTTGGGGATATTGTCATCGGACCAACCAGCCAGGTGAATACAATCTTCTTTCGTGCTTAATTACTGTCTGTCAAGGTGATTTCGTATCCAAGTTTACGGGCAGGCGATTATAACGGAACAATGAATTGGTGGTTTTGTATCCAAGTTTACGGGCAGGCGATTATAACGGAACAATGAATTCGAGTGATTGTAACTGACTTGGTCTTTTTTTTTTTTTTTTTTTTTTTTTAAATGTGGCCCGATGGACCACGGATCAGATATTACACTGATCAGAACAGATACTACACTTGATCTTAGCCAAAAGGCCGAGGAAGGTATGACTTGGTCATTATTATCAGGACCGAAGTATGTCTAATTCTGGTCAGTTCTAATGTTCTAACCGCTATCGTAGTTATGGATGAGAACATCGGGCCTCCTTCGTGTAGGCACGGATTCGAACCGGCGCCCTTGGCCACAAGAGCCATAGACTTGTGTATCATGTGTTCGGTTCACATGCGGCGCGTTGCTTACCTTCGAAACGGACAAGAGGATATGCAAACGGCCCTTTGGATCTCTGCATGTCAAGACACTAAATCGCAGGCCCCGATCTTGCCTCGCATAGTACAGTATTAGGGCCTCGCTCCACTACCCAACACTCTACGTTCATTTGCACGCTTTCTGGACCAGGTGTATTCGGTTGAGTCCAACATGTTGAATGTATCGGGTCGTAGAGTGTTGTGCAGTGGATTGAGGCCCTTAATCTATTGCAATCCAGTCCCGATCTCGTATTGCACGGTACAGTCTGCTATCTCGCCTGTCCAGAATGATCCTTTGCCTCCACCCCTCGAGTCGCGTTCATAGGGTCTCGTTCCACACCACTCGAAACTCAAGGAACACCACTCGAAACTCAAGGATTTCTTGCCCAACACTGATCCAGGGTGCTCTTGAGTTGTCGTGATTAGGTTTTCGGGTTTAGCAAATGGGCGGGAAAAGCTCAAGGGCGTGCGGCCCAGGCAAACCTACCCCTTTTTCAAGTCACCTCTCTGGGCACACTTGGCTGCATTTGAAAACG